GCTTGTTCTCTCTCTCTCTGTTGCACAATAATTCCTTTATTATTTATTCATAGTAGAAGAGCTTTATGAGGAAAGACTGAGATAGCCTTGCATCAGAATATCCCATTGCCCAGTATGTAGGGCACTCACCTCTGAGTTACAGATGCCTGTTCAAATTCCTTCTCTCTCCCTTCAGTTGATGGGATTAGAACCTGGCATCTCCCACATCTCTCTCTCTCTGTTGCACAATAATTCCTTTATTATTTATTCATAGTAGAAGAGCTTTATGAGGAAAGACTGAGATAGCCTTGCATCAGAATATCCCATTGCCCAGTATGTAGGGCACTCACCTCTGAGTTACAGATGCCTGTTCAAATTCCTTCTCTCTCCCTTCAGTTGATGGGATTAGAACCTGGCATCTCCCACAACCCGGGTGAGTACCTTTATCACTAAGCTAAAAATTATGAGTCTCCTTGGTCACTCTGTGTAAGTCTGCCCCTATGTAAGTGCATTTACATTACTTGCATTTTGGTAAATGCGCTCAGAGCTCCCCAACCACATTGGGTTCTGCAGGTTAATTAAGTGGAGAAATGCTAACCTTCTCACTGTTGCTACATTGCCCTGGGACTTAGGCATTCACATGCCTGGCATGGGGTTGTAGTGTGCATGAGCAAAGGCAGAAATGTACTCATTCAGGGAATGTAGTCCTTTTGTGAATCCAGCTCTAGGGTGTCTCATTTTTAGGCAGACATGTCTGAAAATCTTGGCCTACTTTCTTAAGTTTAGAAAAGGATTTAACTCTAATCTGGCTCATTTTAATATTTTTCATAACTCTATCAAGCCCAATTAGTATTTGGTTAAGAAAGGAAAGGTTATTCACCTTGTGCAGTAACTGGTGTTCTTCAAGATAGGGGTCCCTGGGGCGGCTCCACTGTAGGTGTCTTGATACCCCAGCACTTGGATCTGGAAATTTTCAGCAACAGTTACCGCCCCCCACCCCTTCCCCAGGTGGTGGTATTCACGTGCAGCACCATCCGCACCATAGTTAATGTGATGATGCATGCACATTATCAACTGCCCATCTGTTCCTTCTCTACCACAGAGAGATGTTGCAACTCCAAAGCAGAGGGGAGGAGGGCGGGTTGGGGAGCTCCCACAGGGATATCCATCTCGAAGAACACCACTTACTGAACAAGGTGAGTACCCTTTCCTTTCTTCTTCTTCTTCTTCTTCGAGGAGTGTCTCTTTGGGTGCTCCACTGTAGGTAACTATGGAGCAGTGCCCTCAGTCTTTGGAAGGAGGGGGTTTGGATGTGAGTGGTGGACTGTGGCTAGCACTGCCTGCCCAAAAGCAGTGGGCTGTGAAGCTTAAGTGTCCATAGTATAGTGCTTCGTTACTGTATGGGCAGAGGCCCACCTTTCCGCCCTACAAATGTCTGCAATGGGCACATTATGGAGAAAGGCTGTAGAGGTTGCCATAGTTCTGGTGCAGTGTGCCCTGATTTGAGTTGACAAAGGCACCTTGTTAATGTGGAAGGATTCCTTAATGCAATTTATTATCTATTTGGAAAGTCTCTATTTCGATATGGCTTGACTCTTGGAATGGTCTGCTATAGAAATAAAAAGTCTTGGAGATTGTTTAAAAGGTCTGGTTTTATCTAGGTAAAAGGCAAGTGCCTGCTGGACATCGAGGACATGGAGCCATGCTGCATTGGCATCTGGATGCGGCTTTTCATGGAAAACAGGTAAGTATATAGGTTTGTTAAGATGAAATTGGGAGACTACTTTCGGGAGAAACTTAGGGTGTGGTTTTAAATTACATTTTCCTTGTGGAAGATGGTGGATGCACCATAAGTGCGGCTAGCTCATCCACTCTCCTTGCTGTCGTGATTGCTAGGAGGAAGGCCATCTTTATGGACAGGTAAGTGAGGGAGCAAGTTGTCATGGGCTCAAAGGGTGGGCAGGTCAAGCAGATAAGAACAAGCTTAGGTCCCAAAGTGGCACTGATGGCTTTACAGGGGGAAATATGTTGGTCAGGCCTTTCAGGAACTTTTTGGTTATAGGGTGTGAGCATATGGTGTGCCCGTCCACTATCTTGTGCTCACTTGATATTGCTGCTAAATGTACCTTTATGGAGGAATTGGAAAGGTTCTGCTATTTTAAAGTGAGGAGGTAGTATAATATTACCATAAGATGTGCTGATTGTGGGTGTAGGGATCTTTGATCTGCCAACTCAGAGAAACGTCTCCATTTTTGGGAAGATGTTTTGTGTGTCAGCTGCTTGCAACAGTTCATAACTATATTATGTACTTCCTCTCCCCATGTGCCCTGTGGGTTACTCAGCCCTGTAGAAGCCAGGCACGGAGATGAAGCTTGTGAATGTGCAGATGAACAACTCGGCCCTGATCCTGGGATAGTATTCTGCCCATTGTGGCAGAGGAAGGGATGGCGCTGTCACCAGCTGGGACAGGTAAGGAAACCCTGGTTGTCTGGGCCAGGCCGGAGCTACGACAGTCACTCTTGCTTTATGCTGTTTTATGTTCTGTATGTCTCTGACCAGCAGTGGAACTGAGGTAAAAGCATATAGAAGACTGTGAGGCCAGCTGATCATCATGGCGTCCCCCATGGAGCCCTTGGCAAGCCCTGCCCTGGAACAAAACTTGGGGCATTTGGCATTCTGTGATGTTGCGAATAAGTCAATTTCCTCAATGCCCCACTTGAGGAAGACGGAATGTAGGACTTGAGGGTGTATTTCCCATCTGTATTTCCGGTGAAATATTCAGCTTACGCTATTCACGGTGATGTTTTGGTTGCCTGGGAGATATACTGCTGATAGGGTGATGTGATGTTGAATGCATCACTGCCACAGTTTTATAGCCTTCCTGCAGAGGTGATAAGATCTGGTTCCGCCTTGACAGTTTATGTAAAACATGCAGGCGGTGTTGTCCGTGAGTAGTCTCACAGACTTGCCGTGAATCAATAGCAAGAAGCGTTCACATGTTTTTCTCACTGTGCAAAGTTCTAAAATGTTGATGTGCAGGGTCGATGCTGTCGTAGACAACTGTCCCTGAGTGCTGTGGTCATTGATGTGTGTGCCCCATCCCTCTAGTGAGGCATCTGTGGTTATGGTTACGGTAGGGGACTCCCAAACACAGGTTGTGCTCCTGGAGTCACCATAGGAGCAATTTTTTGACCCTCTTTGTGGGACTGGATGGCCTCATGCTCTGATCGTGATACGATCAGGCAGTTGTCTAGGTATGGGAAGATTATTATGCCCTGTTTTCTGAAATGGGCAACTGCAATGGCTAGTATTTTGGAAAAAACTCGCAGGGCTGAAGACAGGCCGAAAGGGAGGACCCGGTACTAGTAGTGTGGGTCCTTTAATATGAAACTCAGAAATATTATGTGTGATGGCCAGTTTTCAATGTGAAAATGTGTGTCCTGAAGGTCAAGGGACAATGTCCAATTTCCCTGTTCCAATGATGGAATTATCTTTGCTAACATTACCATAGTGAATCTTTGCTTTCTTAGATATTTATTCAGTCTGGATAAGTCCAGAATAGGCCTCCAACCCCCTGATTTTTTTGGAGTGAGGAAATATCCTGAGTAAAACCCCTTTTCCCTGTGATGAGCTACACAATCTCTATTGCTCCACAGCTGAAGTAGTCTGTTTACCTCCTGTTGTAGCAGGGGCTCATGAGAGGGAGTCCCTCAAGAGGGATGGGAAAGGGGGTTGGGTTGGAGGGAATTTGGTGAATGGAATGGTGAGGCCTTTCTGTGTGACCTCTAAAGCCCATTTGTCTGTAGTAATCTTGGCCCATGATTGGTAGAAGGGATGCAGACTATATTGGTAACTTGCATTGGGAAATGACTTCAAACCCTCGATTAGATTTTCAAAAGGCTAGTCAGCAGTTGGTTGACTGAGATATGGTTGGCTAATCTTGAGTTTGCCTGCATTTTTGTTGCCTTTGCCTCCTCCTGAGGTCGTAGTGTCTCTGGGGTGCGAAAGATGACGATGCTCTGCCCTGTGATGTATACTGCCTGTTTAGTCTCTTCCTGGGCTGGGAAACATATGTGCCCAGGGTCTTCAAGGTCACTCAAGAATCCTTGAGGGAGTGAAGGGAGGCATCTGTTGTTGCAGAAAAAAGTTTTTGGCCTTCAAAAGGGAGATCCCTCAACATTACCATTACATTTTGTACCTCTCTAGGAAACCCTGAAAGGTGGAGCCACGATACTCGGTGTATGACTACCAGGGTGGCTAAGGACCATGCTGCAGTGTCTCCCACATCAAGGGATGCCTATAGTGCTGTTTTGGCTTAAAGGAATCCTTCAATAACAGTGGACTGCAAAGAAGCCTTACTTTCGTCAGGAAGCCGTTCAATAACATTTTTCATAGTGTAAAAGTGGTGGTATGTGTATTTCGCCGACAGCGCCACATGGTTTACTATTCTTATTAGGAGGGAGGCTGAAAAGTATGACTTCTGTCCAAGGATATCGAGTCTCTTTCATTCCTTATCGTAGGGAGTGGATTTATATTGCGATTGTTTGCTTCTATTATTGGCTGCATCAATCACTGATGAATTTGGTGCTGGATGTGTGAATGAAATTCGGCACCCTTCACCAGGATGCAGTGCTTCCTATCCGATCCTTTTGATGTCGGAGGAATAGATGCTGGTGTTTGCCATAGTATTTTCACAGGATCTAGAATGGCCTCATTTACTGGCAGCACAATTTTTGAGGACAGTGAGGCTTGTAAGATGTTGGTGAGTTTGTGCTGTGTCTCGGGCACCTCAACCAACAAAATGTCTAGGTGTTTACCACTCTCTTATATAGGTCCTGAAAGGACTTAAAATCATCTCCTACTGTTAGTGGAGGGGGCATTATTGTCTCTTCTCCCTGTGAGTCATCAAAACTCTTTGATGTCCTCCTGTGTAACCTCTGGCCTTGTAGGGGTGGAGGGTCTGTGTACCTCTATAGGAGGGCTTGGTGGGGGCATCAGCTGAAGGGGCTGAACCTGAGCCTTCAGCGTGCCGAATGGGTACTATCCCTGCTAAGGCTGTGGGAGTGGGATTGGAGGAAACCACGGAAATGGGTGCACATTTGTGTTTGAGACAGTTGTGTCTGTGTGGTTTGCATGGGCAATGAGTGTCTAGGGGAGAAAGTAATCACCTCATCATCGCTGTTGCTAGAGAATCGAGGTATCAGACTGGTTGGAGTGGGCAGCCTGCTTGTTTCCTCCAGTTTCAGGGAGGCATTGGTACCGAATAACGGTGTGCCCAGTATTGATGCTACTGTCAGTTCCTGTTGCATGGTCAGCGGCTTTGGCAGAGTGATGGTCGGTACCGCCAGTGCTGTGCATTGTAACTGCACTATGGAGTCTGCCTGTACCCTGTATGTAGACAGTACTGGGAAGATCTCTGTGGCCTCTCTCAGTACCAGTTTCGATGGAGTGCATATCGACAGTTCAGAGCACCTCTTGTGCTCGACATCATGCAGCTTCTTCAGAGCCAACTTCATCAGTACTGCCAATGCCGGTACCAACAGCCCAGTGGCAGTTTTCTTTGGCTTGGACGCAAGTACCGCAAGGCGTGGATCTTTTCCAGATATCACCCATTAGTGTTTGTCCGTACCAGACTTCCCTGGTGTCTGCGCGTCCCCCATAGTCTTTCCCTTAGGTGAAAGAAGCTTACTATGGGGAAATAGTCTGTTCAGTGCCCACTCTACTGAGGGTGTGGAGTGCTTCCTTTTGGCGGTCTTTTTGGCTGGGATGTCTCTTGGAACCAAGGGGTGCTGGTCAGAAGCCACCGTTGGTGAGGTGCACACCAGGGAGGCTTGAGGTGGCAGTTCAGAGGCTGGTCTCTCCATTTTTTCCATGGTGAGGAGTTTCACCTGAAGCTCTCTTGCCTTCAAAGATCTGAGCAAGAGCTTTTTACAGTAGTGGCAGCTCTTCGGCAAATGGTCTTGGCCTAAGTATTGAATGCATTGGACATTCCTGTCCGAAACGGGTATGAACATACAGCATGTCAGACTACGTTTTTTTTAAACTAATGAACTAACAAAATAACTACTCGGGAGGGGAAACCACGATGAGAACTATCTAATAATAACTACAGTACTAAATCTTTGAGTAAGGCAAGGAGCGCTGCTGTGTTCCGACCAAACCGGGAGCGGTAGAGAAGGAACTGACGGACAGTTGACAGTGCGCATGTGTCGGCATGTTCACTATGGCACGGATGGTGCTGCGCATATGTGCCACCACTCGGGGAGGAGGGGTATTGCTGCTGAAAAGTTCCGGGTCCAAGCACTGGGGCATCAAGACACCTATAGTGGAATGCCCACAGAGACACTCTGAAGAATGCAATAATTTCATACCAGGTATCACGAAGAGGATATGTGGGGAGGTGGTCTTGTGCTTTCTCCTTTTCCCACCCTGTAAAGTTCCCTAGTTGGCATTTGAAGATTATCCTACATCCTTATCCAAGTTCCCCAGCACATTAGTATGGTATCCTATGGATACCAAAAAAAAAATTTAATCTTTACCACTCAGGCTGACTTCAGTGTAAATTAACACTTTATGGCTTGTTTAAAACAAGGTGATTACTATAAAGGCTCCTATACTGCCAAACATGACACGTGTAAAATTAGTCTCCTATGGAATCCCATTGAAATTAATGCCCTAGGAAAACACATCTGAACAAAACTGATTTCTCTGTCCAGTAAATGCACATTGTTTCATACTATAAAATATGAAAAATAAAAAATAACTGTGCATAGTTGAGTCTGTCAATGATGTACATATAACTAAAAAGATTCACTACATAATAAAATGCTTTTTATAATTTGCAATTAAAGTGGTTTGATTCTTTCTCCTATACATTAAAAAATTAATGTCATAAGTTGAAACACTGATGCAGCAATTTTAGTTTACTGCTAAAAATTAAGAATTAATTTGATCAATTAATGCATGATAAAAATAATCAAATTACTTAACCAAATATAAAACTTCACTAGATGAAGTAAGAATTTACTAATATAATTTTACTTTACTTTGACATCTGCAGTTCCTGCGATAAATTCATCAGCTTCAGGGTTGGGTTGTAATAGAGGGATCTCTTGGTAGATATTTGGAAAGCAAACAAGAGACCCAAGAAGGGTATGAGCTTCTGAACGAGGGGCCTAAAGGAAAAAAAATACAAACACAATAGATTATCTTTTCCAAAAAGTGACATAAAAGGATATTCTAAACAATGGTGATACCCTAACATCAAACAGGCTCCAAGTTCTTCGCAATCGATCACATGTCTCTTCTGCTCTTTTTTGTTGAACATGTACACTGTATTACACTATATACACAATACTAAGCAGGCATTACCAGCACATATTTAGCACACACTTTTGCTTTTATTATGATACATACTGTTCTCCTATTTCCATTTTCCTCCTGTTTCCATTTTCAGATGGCCCTTTGGTCAATAGTTTGGCAAGAGGAGGCAAGTAATTGCCTCTGTAGGATCTAGTGTGCTGACTGAACACAGTTACCACTTTTGGAAATTAGGGTATTTCATCGCACCTCAGGGTTAAATTTTCATTGATCAATTCAATAATGCACACAATGCATTATTACCAATCTTTACAAGTAATTCTGTAGCTTCACAGTTCTGTGGCTATCCAAGTTACTTGGAATCTATTCAAATATACATATAATCTTTCAATATGGTAGAACTTCAGAGTTACAAACAGCAGAGTTATGAACTGATCAATCACACACCTCATTTGGAACTAGAAGTATACTGTAAGGTAGCAACAAAAACCAAAAAAGCCAAACCTCCCAAACAAACAATCCCTTCCCCATCCCCCACACCGCTGCTCCCAAATACAATATAGTACCATATAAAATGTAAACTACATAATGGGAAAGTGGCATTTTTCTTCTGCATAGTAATGTTTCAAAGCTGTACAAAGTCAATGTTCAGTTCTAAACTTTGAAAGAACACTTCACCATAATGATTTGTTCAGAGTTAGTTATGAACATTTCAGTTACAAATTCCTTTCCTGAGGTATTCATAACTAAGGTTCTATTATAATCCGGAACTACAAAATGTTTACTATGCTTGCTGGACCAATGATAGAGACATTTAAATTGTTCCTAGCCCGAATTAATGTTCTCAACTAAGTGATGCGGAAGTCCACAAAATGCTAAATTCTTTCATGCAGTATCATATCAATAGCAATTTCTGCATGCATTATACTGCATGCACCACAAATAAAATATTGCATTTAGTTTTACTCTATAAACTCCAAAACATGAGCCCCGCCTTTTTAAAATGGGCATTAACATACTGATTTAAAATGAGATCTTTTCTAAAATTTGAGGAGCCTCATTTTCATACATAAATGCCTAAATAGGCTGTTTGGAAGCTTAAACTCACAGTTTGACATATAAAAAGATAGTTATCTGATCCGTAACTAGTGTTCTTGAAAACATGTTGCTCATTTCCAATCCACATTAGGTGCGTGTGCTGGAAGTTTTCCCTTAGCAGTACCCATGGGGGAGCAATTCAGGAGACCCCTGAAGTGGTGCCATGATAGCACACACAATATAAGGGGCACCACACACTTCCCCCACCCTCAGTTCTTTCTTGATAGAAAACTCCCACATTAGGAAAGGAGGGCTGGTCATGGAATGGACATGAGCAACACATCTCAAAGAATACCAGTTATGAAACAGGTAACTGTCTTTTCTTCAAGTGATTGCTCACGTTCATTCCACGTTAGGTGACACACCAAGCAGTACCTTGGCCTTCTTGCTTCAACTGCTTTGACTTACTCAGCTGCAAGGTCTACTTGATGGTTGTGAGGCTTGGGGAAGAACACAGAGACGAATTTGTCTTGGTTCACATGGAAGGAGGAAACAACCTTCGATAGGAAGACTGGATGGGACTGTAGCTGGACCTTGTCTTTGTAGAAGACAGTATAGAGATTCTGAAGATAAAGCAGTGATCTCCAAAACATGCCTTGCTGTTGTCGCTGCCACCGGGAATGCAAATTTCCAGGACAAGTAGGAAAAGGAGCATGATCTAAGTGGCTCAAAGGGCACCCTGGTGTGCTACACCTGTCCCGACAGGCAGAGGCAGACCCTGGCTATGGTCAGGAGAAACACAGAAACCTCCACTGTGAGGCTATCCAGGGCTTGGAACCTGATTAGGCGCAGGTCGAGTTGAGCACTGCTCTGATGAACTCTATCCATGATATGAACTTTTAACTAGGAGCCTAAGGAACTGGCAGCTGTCTAGAAAAACTGCTATGATGTGATGCACTTGGGTCCTGGAGCTGCCCTTGCCCAGACAGTTGTTGAGGTAAGGGTAGATCTGTAAATTCCAGCAGCTGAGGTAGGCTGCCACTACTACCATGCACTTGGTAAACTAGCCAGGCCAAAGGGGAGAACTGTAAACTGGTAGTGCATGGGCCCTGCCATAAACCAAATAATCTGTGAGCTGGAAAGATCGCCACATGCAAGTATGCATCCTTCAGCTTGAAGGCAGCATACCAGTCTCCCAGATCCAGAACAGGAATGATGGAGGCCAAGAAGACCATGTGGAAGTTAAACTTCCTTAGATATCTGTTGAGGTCTCTGAGATGAAGGATGGACCACAGAGCTTCCTTGGCTTTTTGGATTAGGAAATATTTGGAACAGAAGACCCTGTTCCAGTACTGGGTTGGAACTTCCTCCACCACCCTCAATGAAAAGAACCTTGTGATAGCGGTCCCTGAAGAGGGACAAGGAGGGAGGTTGTGAGGGATGTAGAAGAGAATTGGAGGGTATAATCCTGGGAAATAGTACCCAAGACCCATTGGTCCAACTTTATAGCAGTCCAGGCTAAAAGAAAGTAGGAAAGGTGGTTGACAAATAAGGGGGGATGTAGAAAGGAGAGTGGATCCATAGGTAAGTTAGATATGTTGCCCTCGAGCACAACCCTTTTTACAATGTGGCTAAGTGAGCTGAGGGCACTGGCTGACTCAACCACCACTGATAGCCCTTGCTTTTCTGAGCCAGGGGTTCCTGATGTAGCTGGCTTCTTGGACCCAGAGAGTACTGGAGGAAGAACAGTTTATGGGCCAGGCTGGGAAGGTACAGCCCCAGGGTCTTTAAGGTTTTACAGGAATCCTTAAGCTCATGTAATTTTGTATCTGTCCGTTCTACATATAGAGAGTGGTCATCAAAAGGGAAATCCTGCAGCAATTGCTGAGCTGCTGCAAACAGCCCTGGACGGAATAGCCAGGACACTTGGCAAATGGATAAATTCAAAGCCCTCATGTGAGCTGCAGAGTCTGTCTTATTGGCTACTTCCTGGAGATCCACCCTGGTAGCCACAAATCCCTCCTCAAGGATTTCCTTAAACTCTTTCCTTGAGGCTTCAGGAAGCCATCCCTCAACTTTGACCCTGGCCTACCACATATTAAAATTGTAGCGGTCAAGGAGGGCTGGGTCATTTGCTACCTGCAATTGAAGGCTGGCAAAAAAATAATGTATGATGTAAAATATGAAGGTATGCACTAAGGACTAAGTCATGGCTCTGTAGATTTCTTAGAATGGCACACGAGCCAGGAAAGCTGCCAAAGAAACTTGTGCTCATGTAGAGTGCACAGTGAGAGGCAGCAGGGAGACCTTAGCTAGATCATAATATGCACGGATACACGTTATACAATAGAAGATGAGATGAAATGCAAAGAGACAAATACTCCCTTCACATGATCCACCATGACAACAAACGGCTGCAAAGACTTGTGAAAGGCCTTGGACCAATCAAGGCAAAAAGCGAGAGTACAACTCTCATCAAGGAAGTGCAATCTTTGTTCCTGCAAGATCTGGTGAGGCTTTGGATAGAACACAGGGAGAAAAGTGTCCTGCTCAGAGTTGAAACTGGAGACCACTTTTGAAAGGAAGGCTGGGTGAGGACGAAGCTGAACCTTGTCCATGTGGAAGACAGTATATGGGGGTCCCAACATCAGGATGTGAAGCTCCGATACCCACTGAGCAGAGGTAATCCCAAGCAAAAAGGCCACCTTCCAAGAAAGATAAATCAGGAGGCACATGGCCAGAGGCTCAAAGTGAGGACCCATGAGTGTTGAGAAGACCAAGATAAAGTCCCAGGCAGGGACAAGACACCGAGCCGTGAGGGTGAAGTCTGTCTATACCCTTGAAGTAGCACCCAATAAGGGGGTTCAAGAATACAGAGCAGCCAGACTCTCCAGGATGGAAAGCCAAGACAGCCACTAAGTGCACCTTACGTGATGAAGTTGCTAAGCCTTGCTGCTTCAGGGACACCAGATACTCCAGCACCTAAGGCACAGTGGCAGATAGAAGGTCTGGACACCAAAATGAAAAACATTTCCACTTGACAGAATAAGTGAGCCTAGTAGAGGGCTTTCTGCTACTAAAGAAAAACTGCTGAACTAGGTCTCAGCTGGGTTTAGCCATAAAGCTGACAAGAGAACTATATGAAAGTAAGCGTCCTTTAAGTCAACAGTGGCATACCAATCTTCCGAATCCAGTATGTGTGTGGGGGATAACGGAGTTCAGCGAGACCATACAAAACCTGTGAGTGACTATAAATTTGTTGAAGTCTCTGAGGTCCAGGATGGGCCAGAAAGCCATTGCCCTCCCCTTTGCTTTGGGAACAAGGAAATAACAGGAGTAAAAGCTCTTGCTTCTGAACTCTGCTGGCACCTCCTCCACCACCCCAAGGTCCAGGAGAATGTACACCTCCTGGAGAAGGAGATGCTTGTGAGAGGGGTCCCTGAAGAGGGACATGCAGAAGGGGATTTAGTAACCCGTTTCCACTGTCTGGAACACCCAGTGGTCCGAGGTGATGGCAACCCAAGCCTGGGGGAAGCAGAAACACTGGTCCTGGAAGAGAAGAGGATCCAATTTGGTCAGCACTCTATCCTTGTGTACCTTCAAAAGGCCTGCTCAGATCCCAAAGAAGGGTTGGATTGATCCTAGTTGTTACCAGACCGCGGCCAGGATGGCTTACATCACAAGTACCTAGGCTGCCTTTGTGAGAAATCAGTGCTGGGATGAGAAAGGAATCGCCACTGCAAGGACTGTGGCTTGAAGGTCTTCCAGTGTGTTGAGGGTACTACAGAACACCTTGCTGTCCTGGACCAAGGCGGTG